GAAAGCTCAAGGATCAGGTCAGACTGTTGAAATAGTATTTAATCAACTTTGAATAATTTGAAAAAGAAAATTATGATATAGATAAAATATAAAATTTATATGGGGATAAGAAAAGCCAGTTTTCACTGCTTACATTTGAAGAGAGGAACTATTGCTATTTTTCCAGAGAACAATCATTTCTACTAAGAATACAAAGGAACAAAATCTGGAAGGGCCGTGAGTCTCAGAATGAGATAATAAATACAGAGAAAGGAATAAACAGGTAGGAAAATCTAAAAAAAGATAACATTGAGTTCCCTGGTTCCTAACACTGGACAAAAATTTTAGGAGCTCCCAGTCTGTTTCAAAGGCTGCTTTGCCTTTAAGTATTACCAGAGAAATTCCTCCAGCATGCTGAAATATATTCTTAAAAGTTGTTAAACAGGCCTAAACAAATATTTGAAAGTTCAATTGTCTCCCAGAAATGTGATTCTTCCATTTACACAAAAACATGCTTATATAAACAGAACAATGATAATTTATATTAGTTGTTGAATTTTTTCTTACTAAACTTGGTTGCTGCCAGACTGTTTTGTACAAATAGCTCTATAAACATGCTGTTAATCCAGCATTCTCCCATGAAAGAAGTAAGAGTGTTACTTCTAACTAGAAACTTAAAGACCAAGAAAATTTCAGAAATGATTGGAATATTTATACAACATATTCCAAGTGATCATCACAAAAACTATTTTGGAATACATACATATTTAAACCATGAATCCTGGTGAACTACCACATGGGATTTTTCACAGCAAAGTGCTTGAAGAGGTGTTTTTGTTTTTTTTTTTTGCAGTTGACAATTCAAATGCAATAGGATAGCTGCTAAAAACCATTTTAATAAAGGTCATACTTGAGACTTCTCAAACAAGAATTTTAATTAATACCCTAGCAGTCAGCAATTAAATTTGCACATCTGATAGCTTTACAACATAGATTGGAGAACTGCATCAAACTACATACATTTACATGGCAATTGCTATGGCCAGGAGTTCAGGTTTTTGGTTTGTTTCAGAAAGCCAATGACTTTGTACAGAAACTAGGAAATGTAAAGGTGCTTCTGCTCTGGAAGATTCAATTGTAATCATATCCAGTAAATGGATGCTGTGTTCATACCAGAAGTTAATTTTACAGCATCCCTCAAGAAACAGTAGAGGCTTTGATATCATCTATCCCTGGGAATGGGTGTAGGATGGCAGGAAGGCTAAGGAGAAAGGGAGGAAGTTGTGGTCTCTTTTGTAGTGCTGTTTCTCATGATCATGGAAATACCGGCAGTCACAGGATCAAGTACTCCCTCCATAGCTGAGCTGGGTCCATGTCAAGTAGTGAAGAAGAAAACCCACCTGGTTACTTGGTTGGGATTTTTTCCTGCAGTATATCTAATATCCTGAGCCTTTAAAATCATGGATGTTCTAGAGACAATGAACAGAATGTAAAGTTTATAACATCTCCCGTATGCCAGTTCAGCATGGAATATTGCATCCAAGTTTCTTTTCTTCATCTAAAAGTGATCTATCTTTACCTAAAATGAGCATAATTTTGGACACAAGTTAAAGAATATTGTGCACTGTCATTGTGGGAGGCTGCTACTGGTCATCCAGTCACAGTGACGACACCAACAAATTATTCTTTAAGGAATCGAGGGACAACTCCAAACCAACTGCCCTTGTCCTTTTGAAGGAATTCACCTTGCCAGGTGTCAACTGGGAACACCACACAGCTGGTAAAAACAGCTCCAGCAGATTCCTAAAACACCTGGACAACAACTTCTTGGTTCAGGGACCCAGGGAGCTGTGTCCAGAGAGGTGTGCTCCGCGATCTGTTGCTTGTTCCCAGAGAGGCTCTCATAGGCAAAGTGGTGATTCGTGGCCATCTTGGCTACAGTGACCATGAACCCTTGAGTTTCTTGGCACCCTGCCTGCACCTGTCTTGCACCTGAGATGGAACAGGCACAGGTGAGCATGGTTGGAAAATCGGCATCCCCTGTCCATCCTGCCATGCAGGGGCACCAGAACAGCCTGTGCAGAGCCCGGAGCGCTAGCCTTAAGCAGGAGGGTTGTTTCTTGAGGAGAGTCCTCTGTTTACTTGAGAGCAGGGGCTTCCAGCTGGTGAGGCGAGGGGCTGGGGGGGCAACAGGGCCTGTGAAGGACAGGAACCTGCCTCTGCCCCTGCTGCTGTCACCCACTTGTCCAAGGCAGGGCCTCCCGCTTTTACCTTTGCCACCTCCCAGAGAGCAGAACGGAGGTGTTAGTAATTTACCAAACATAAACTAGTGAAGAGTATACCTCACTGAATACACTGTACTTGCAGACTTTAACCAAATGTGAAAGGTGATCTACAGGTAGTAGTAAACTAAACAGATGATCCTGCCTGAGCAGCTGCACTGGTATATCGAAGTGAACTGGTGCTGTAATCACACTATAAAAATATTGTATTGCATTGCAAATATTTTGGCACAATAGTGAGTTACAAGTCTAGTACTTTTGTCAGTACCTGTGTTGAAATCAGAAATAATTTGCCCCTATTCCGCAATGACATTGTAAACTAAGGTGAATAGCACCCTTGTTCCTTCAGTCTTACTTAAACAGAGCACAGCCCGGGTTTAACACAACTGTGAATAGGGACATGGGAATAAAAACTAATCCTGACTGGGAAGAACTGCCATATTAAAGCAGATCTGTAAACTAGAGAAGATTGAGAACACTGCATTTTGGTTTTGCCAATTCTTTGTCTATCAGCAACTTTATGGCATGGAGTGTATTCCAGTAATATTTACTAAGGGAACCTTTAGGATTGTGATCTTTAAGAAAGGAAACTGATCCAGGGAAGTTAATAAATGTCCAATTTAATTTATTTAAAAAACATGTAAACATATTACTTTTCCTTGTCTGAGCCAATAGAATAATGGCTAGGTAAATAACAGTCCAGAATCTGTCAAGGAGAAATTGTGCCTGGATATTGGACACAGAAATGACCAGTTTTCTGTCCAATAACAGGCGTTAGGGTGGAACACATCATGTACCTTGACTTGAACAACTCTATCAGATCTATATTGGGTTTGTGTGGCCAGATATTTTGACTTTGAGAAGATCAAACAGGAAACAGCTTGTGCGGTAGCTCTTGGTCCTGTTCAGACTAACTAACCAAAAGGATATTCCATACCTTATGACATCAGCTCAGATATAAAAGCTAAGGAAAGGAGGAAAGAGGGAGGCATTATTATTTACAATGTTTGCCTTCTGGAGCAACTGCTACAGGTGCTGAAGCCCTGCTTCCCAGGAAAAAAACCAAATACCACTTGCTGACAGAAAGAAGAGAATAAACCTTGTTATTTTCCTCTTTGCTTGTGTGCACACAAACTTTTGCCTTTGCTTTAGTAAACTGCCTTATCTCAACCTATGAGTCATTTTCCACCTTATTCTCTGTCCCCTTTCCAGGTGGGGAGTGATAAAGCGGCTTGGTGGGCACCTGGCATCCAGCCAAGGTCAACCCACTACAGATGTTATGTAAAAGCTCAGAGAAAGCAGTCTAAATAAAATCATTCTAAGACGGAGGGAAATTGTACAGAGGGATAGGGTAATCAATTGTTCCCTGTCAGAGTGAAAAGAAGTATTACATTTCAAAAAGTAAGTAAAGGCCAGTATTGTGCAGCATTTTCATTATTTACAACAATTATAGAGTAGGTTTATTACATTTGCAGACAACATCTGACTGAAAAATACTGCTGATTTGCTGAAGGACGGGATTAACATACAGACCAAAATTAGAGAAATAGCTTAAAGGGGAAAAAACTTGTCAGACAACAAGTACTGACACTTGTGTTGGAATAAACAACACAAGATGGGAAAAAGTAGGTTAAGTAACAGCTGTTCTATGATCAAATCTGTTACAGAGTAAAGAAGGTTGGAAGGGAGAAAGACAAAACTATAATTGCAATCTGAACATGTTAACAATATCAAGCCCTGATAGCGAAAAGTGTCATCCTATGTATATGCAACCATGGAATGTGTAATACTATGATGTATAACCACGAACAGAGCCTGCAAATTGGACGGGGAAAAAATCCATAATCTTACTGTTGGTCTTCGTTTTTCTAAGACTGTGGCCTGACTGCCATGTCTTCGTTTTCTAGACAGACCTAGTCCACTTAGGGAGAGATCAGCATGGAGAAGGTGTCAGGGAGACCTCACTGCAGCCTTCCAGAAGCTTAAGGGGGTGTATAAAAACTGAGAGATTTTTTATATGGGCAGATAACGACAACAAGGGGCAATGGTTTTTAATTGAAAGAGAGCAGGTTTAGATTAGATGTTAGCAAGAAATTCTTTACTCAGATCGTGGTGACGCACTGCAATCAGAGACGGCTGCCCAGAGAAGTTGTCGATTCCCCATTCCTGGAAGCGTTCATGGCCAGGTTGGGGCCTAAGCAAGTCGGTCTACTGAAAGGTGTCTCTGTCCATGGCAGAGTGGTTGGAATTAGACAATCTTTAAGGTCCCTTTCAACCCAAACCATTCTACTATCAGGAAAGAAAGAGGAGTTATAAGCATGTTACAAACAAAGGAAGACTGCAGGAGCTTGGGTTGTCTCACATACTGAAGTAAAGACTAAGGAGTCTAAGTCTTGCAGGAACTCAGGGAAAAAAAGAGGGTTTATCACCTTTGCAAAAAAGGACAGGCAACTCAGGAAATGTTTAAGGCTGTTGTTAGGTCACGGAGGATGGTCTAGTTGACAAGGGGGTTTGGTTGTAGGTTGGACTCAATGATCTCAGAGGTGTTTTCCAACCTGTAGGATCCTGTGATTCTGGAAGGAGAGGTTCAGACAACATGCTTTGCATACATAAAGGTTAGCTGCCATAAGTAAGAAAATAAACTGTTTTCCATGATAGTGGTGGTTATGGAAAATGTTGTGAAACAAAAGTAATTTATTTTCCAGCTCCTTCTATCTCCTCCACAATTCTAAACTGACTGGAAGACAACATTTTTACATAAACTGATGACTTTAAAGAATAATGCTTCTAAATAAAAGCTTTGTTAGCTTCACGTGTATGAGTTCCATAAAGACTATTTCAAGACATATTTTATATTTCAGTTAGTAGGACAAAATGTCAAAAGGAGTCAGCTTGCAAATACATATAGTATTACAGACTATGAATTAAACTCCCTTTATCCACCAACCCAACATTAAACTGCAATTTATAATGACATGAAGTTTAGTACCAGAAAAAACAATAATTTGTAATTATAAAATAATTTAGCTTTATTTAATAAAATCTTCTGATATTCTTACTATTCCAAGAAATGAAGAAACAAACATTTCCATATTTTCTTTCATATCAAATGGTTTTAATCTTCACTCGTCTGAAGCAAGTTAGGGTAAATGTTGGACATACGTGTTGAAAATTATTATGTATTGCAATCTACCACCATTGTCTTTCTATCTGTGTTAAACATTAGCACCATCTACTGGTCCAGAAGATCCTTTCAAACTTTAGAAAAAGCTGTGGAAAGTGATCCAGCCAAAATGATGCAAAACGATATTGACAGTAAGATGAAGTTTTTCAGTCCCTGTATAGGAAAAGGGAGAAAAAAAGAAAAATTGATACCCCTTAAAAAAAAAAAAAGTAAAATAAAGAACTTTTATGCTCATTTTATGACAAAATTAATAACTCTACTATATGACATGGTAAATTTTATACCATTTTATTTCATATATTTGTAACATTTGCTGCTGAGAAGTTTATTACAAGCAATCTACGATCTTATACACTTAGTAAAATATTCACAAAATTAATTCAGCAATTTTTGGAGGTATTTTTAAAGGCCTTTGTCTATTTTTCAGATTATTTACAGTAAGTACTTATGCAGAGACTATTCAAAAATGTGTGAAAAAATTGGAAGATTTAGAGAGTTACAAAGATTTAGATAATGAGCATGATGATCTTCTCATGTAGTGCAACACTAATCTGCAGTGGAAGGCACAGAACTTCTAGCTGTAGATCCAATGAGGCCTAACTCATTTTACACAGTCACCGAAAACATTGGGAAAGATGATGTCTAACAGCAAGTTAGGTACCCATGGATCCTGGATAGATTAGCTAAGAGAACCTGATATTACACTGCTAGCATTCAGTGCTTGAAACTCCACTAGCAAAATAACTTCTGTCCTGTATGTTAATATCTAGCAGAGTAAATCAGCTTGTTCTAGGCAATCACTGCCATATCAGTTTAGGATCTTTACGTTATACTGTAATTATTAAGACCAACTAACCTCTGTTGTATTTTTTAGTCTTTTGTTGAGCCTGACTCTAAAAGTCTACTCTACCTGTCTACATGATTATTAGGACAGCTGCTCATTCACCCACCTCCACTGAAAGAATTGACTCAAGTGAAAACTGTCCTCAGGCTGTGCCTGGCATCCTGCCTCCTGGTTACACTACAGTCCTCACATACATCCACTGTTGCTCATACAGTTATGGAATTAAAATCGTCATTCCCATAAAAACTGTTCACAGTTTTTCATGTTTCTTGGAAAACTTAAGCAGTGCATGATAGGACTTTCAGCTTCATAGTGCAATACTTTTAAGGAGGAGAAATCTGAGATACAGCTGTATACGAAGTCATACTATTTCCAGAGCTAGAGACAAACAAGAAAGATTGGGCAAGAGACTCAATAACATTACCTTGATTTCCTTAAATACAAGGACTCCCCACATTGCAGCAACCAGGCCAGGCCCCTAAAAAATAGGATTCATTTGTACATTACAGCACTTCATTGAAATTTACTGCCTTCTCATTACTGCTCTCAGGGCGGTTGAATTTTGTCTGGATAACACATTTAGGCCTTTCCATTTCATCTAAGTAAAGCACTCATGACTAAAGCATAAACATCACTGAAATCTTTACTAAGTAAGACACAGTAAAATCTTCAGGAAGGACTAAAGACGCAAGAGACTGCTTTTTTTTTTTTGGAGTAGGCACAATTCCTTTTTAAATTACACTGTGGAGTCTGCCCTGGCTGTTCCATGTTCTTTCAGTAGGCTAAATAATATGCCTCACTTTAGTCCCAACTTGAGTTCACTATGTTATCTTGTTTCAGAAGACTTTTCAGGTTTATTGGCAACTACCATGGATATTCCTAACATTTCCTTTATTAGCATGACTAACTATTTGGACAAGGTTTGATTTTATCACTCACAAAGCCAGCCACAGAGACAGGTCAGGAAAACTGCTGATTATTGGTGATGATGCTGTACAGATTTCCTGGCTAACAGCAAACAATGATACACAATGGCAACTTGCAGGAGCTCTTTTTTCACACTATTTTCCACACACTTTTTCTCCTGAGGGAGCAAGGATCTGAATTTTCACGTCTGTTGAGAAAATATCTGAATATGAAGCAAAACCTGGCTCTGTTAATGCTTCCCATTAGAGCTGCTCTGAGGAACACTTGACAGATGTTTGGACAAGGACCTTCTCTCCATCCTCAGTGCAGCTGATGGGACACAGATATAGACCAGCAGGAAATGGTGTCTCATGCTGAATGTATGGGTGGGTGCTGTTTTCTAGTGAAATTTGAGGTGTTATTTCACTTCCTAGGTAATGTACACTGCAAGAGGAATGCATTTTTAAAAATGAAACAAATTGTTAAACGGCTGTGATGAATAGCTCTTGAAATTCTCTCCAGGGTGAAGTAAAGCAGCAGTTCTGAACCTGTGGTCCAGATAGGCAGTTTCTCATCACTGCTGTCCTTATGTTTTTCATTTTGTGATTTTATATCTTTGCCCTTTAGGCATACTGATAACTGAGTTACTAAAGCTGCTTTCCATTAATCCTTCAATTTCTAATTAGAACGATCCCAAGTCTTTTTTTTCCATGGCATACTGCAAAGTTTATTCGGATTTACTGCATCTTGAGGCAAAGTTTAATCCCTATTAAAGATGTTTCATTAGTTTGATTCCAAAATACTGTTGTTGAGCAAAACTTTGGTTTTGATATTTATTAACTCTCATTTGCCACCTTTGCATCACCAACTGGCACACTGGCAAGAGAGTGAAGGCAAAGTTTACTTTTACCTGGTGATAAAATTTATGCTTTAAAGGTACAGTGTCATAAATAAGAATAAAACAGGCAGAACAGGTCAACCTATTTTCCTCTCATTTGCATAAGAACATTATTTTCAGCAGTACATAATCTGTTCTGTTTGTTCAAGAATGGCAAACAGAAAAAATACCTGACTTAATTAAGTAAAATGACTGCTAGGGGATAAAACTCACAAATTAAAACATCCAGACCAAAATGTACTCCCTGGGATGAAAACATAAAATATTTCTTCCTTTAATCACTTTGGTTAAATAGTTAATGTTGATATATTTCTGGTTCCAGAGATTTGGCTTTTATGTAACCTAAAGATTCACACTCTTAATTCTTCTGCTTTTTCTTATGCTTGGCATTGACCAAGATAGTGCTTGTCATATGTTTATGTTCCTAAAAATCCAAAGACTAACACAGACAAGCAGAAAGGCAATATATACTCTTGATTAAAAATGTTCTAGATCCATCATAATTTCAACTTAATTTCACAGAGAGAAGGGTAAAAAAAATTTCACTTTTCATTCTAGTTACATATTTTATTTTTATATACTTACTGCAGTAATTATTGGAAAGCTGACGACAGCACTGAGATAGTGATTGGCTATGAACCAGCAGCAATTGGCTATCGCCCAAAGCACACCAGAAAGAAACCCTAGAAAAATAAATCCTAATCAAAAACATGCATAGCAAGGTATAGACTGCAATTTGTGGAAAATTTATACTTATAGCATAATACAGAAATTGTAGGTATGTATTTTAGTACACTAACTCCTTTAAAAAGCTGGTTCTGGTAATCTAAACCAAAGCTCAAAGGATAAAAATCAGCTACTCTGAAGCAGCAAATTAATTAAAGTTCACAATTTTGGGGGCAATGTGCTCTCCATCTTGGCAGTTCATTTTTGAAAATCTGCAATGTCATTTTGTTCTAGCATTAGATTAGAATAAAATTTATCATTGTTAATTAATTAACCTAATAGGAATGCTCTTTCAAAAGATACAAAAAGTCAAATGGAGTCACTTGAAAGGCAAACTACAATTCCAACACATGGCTTGGACTAATTACTGCAAAATGGTCAGAAGTAGTAATTGAAATGCTTTGCTAATTTAAAAAACAGTCATACCTGGCAATATGGCTTGGGGATAAACATTAGGTTTATTTTTTCTGACTACACAGTAGATCAAAAAGTAGATGGTACTAGTAAGAAATATTCCACTGAAGTGTGCAAAAACATAATCTAAATCTGAAAGAGAAATTACAAAATTATGTTAGTATAAAACATCAGTTATTAATTTTAACAAAATTAATTTCACTGATAGCATTCATTTAGACAAAAATGCATAAGGTGCTACTCCTAATAACTCAAATTCAAATCTGAATGTGATGAACTCAGCTGCCAGTCTGACTGTGGATGGATATGGTCAATGACACATATTAAACATGAACTAACTGCCGTGTTGACTCCAGCATTTATTACAGGTTTCTATGCACTTCTGTGAGTTGTTATTTTTGGAACTCTACTATATATTACTGCATTCATTTAATAAAACCTTGGAAAAATCCTCAAGTAAGGTTACGAAACTTGGCTAGGGATTTTACATAATTACATCCTTTCCTGATCATCTACAATGTGTTCCTGTATATAGCCTTGTTTCTTTTCTGTACTTTTAAGGGCAAGAAAACTGCACATACTATGTAAGCTAAACATGGTTCAGTTTTGTCCCTTTTAATCTTAAAGGATGTATCAAAATTTTGATTACCATAATCACTAACAATAATAAATTTGTATGGACTTTGTATAAGCTAAAAAGAGTATTTCCAACATGGCAAAGCAGAAGCATGTAACAAGGCGATCCCTGTCTCCTTGGAGCTGTAAATTCTCAACAGGAAAGGCAGCTATACTAATGACAACATCTGTTTTGCCTAGGTGGGGAATATACAAACTGCAGTATTCAAGAGAAATTGTATGTGACAATGGCAACATTATGCACTCTCAGCAATACTTTGCTCGTAAGCTGCTGCTGGTATTACCTGACAGAGTATAATCTAAACCTTAAGGAAAATGTTTTCGGGGAAATGTTGTTTGAAATTGGCAATTAGGCTTACATTAAAAGGTTTCAATTAAAAAACCTACACAGTTTTAATTACTTATGTTGTTATATTCTGCTCCACTCATAGCTTATTATTAACCTTCTCTTCCTTGATTGGTGTACTAATTTAGCAATTGTCAAGCTTGCGCCCTTCTTCACCTCATCCTCCACGCATACGAACTTCGTATTTTGAGAGTGCTACTATTTAATGCCTTCTGGAACACAGCTATGAGTTAAGTATGCTAGCCTTTGGGATGTTTCTCACTGGTTTTGATGGATTAGTTCACCTCTGAGAAAAAGGGAGTGCTAGGACTATGATTATGACAACATATAATGTAATGCAGAACCAATAAATTGTCATGGTATATTTTCAGGCATATGAAGAATTCCACCCTATGCCTTTAAAAAAGCAGGAAAACACAATGATTAAATAAAGTAGAAATGATCTATTAGCCTTTACCAAACTGACTTGCTCCTGTGTATATAGTTTCATTTCTTCTTCCATGGTCCTTGATGTAAAGTACTGGTACAAAACTGGAACCGTACAGTATTCCAGCTACTACAGCCAGGCTACAGCCTCTTTAAAAAGAGCAAATATTGGAGAACATAGCCTAGCATAAATTAATGAAGTAGACAACACACTTAAGCACCCAGTAAACACTGTGTATCATGTGAAAATTGCTAGGTATAAAGATAATACATTTTGGTACATTTTTATTTTCAGTGTAGTGTAGAAATGGTTCATTGAGTTTCCTTATACTTTGTGGCCAAGTAACATGGAAAATTCCTGCCCCAAGAGCGAGCAGTCTAGATTAATGACATGGGAAATTAACTAACTACAATTTCCTAAAAGCAAAGCTAGGAAAACCCAAACAAATATATAATTAAAAATGCTCACACCCTCAGCTTCACTGTTGCTGTCTATACATTCTTTTATCACTATTCCCAGACTCATTGCTCTTTAATCCCCTTCTTCATCTCTAGATCGTTGAGCTCTTGGCAGTCTCCCCTTGCTTGCTTCCACTTTGGGGCACTTCTACTGTCTCCTTACCATACTGCCATGCCTTCTCCAGATGTATTTAACCAGAAAGCAAACCTGGAAGCATGTCATTAGCACAGGCTTCGTCTATGCTGGAGTGCTAATCAACCAGGTGACAAAAACCAGCTCTGTAATTAGTTGATATTGCTATTTAGTTTGCCAGTTTTTTCGTAGTAGTACCTAATACTTAATTGGTAAGGTTAAGCACACTCAACAGTGTCAAAGAAATAATCTAAATATTTGTGCAATTATTCATATATAGATTTGCACACTATACTAGTATACAAACCCCTGTTATTTATTATTGTGTGACTTCGCTAGGAAAACCACAGGACACAAATTCTGCTCTTATGCTGTGTTCAACTACTTTCTCTGGCTATTTGGTCTGTACCAGTAAAAGAACTGTTAATAACCTACATGAGTCTCTTTTTTGCTGGCGAAAGTCTGTTCACCCACGAGTCATCAGAGGTATCTTCAGAAACATTAATAGACTGCAAAAAAACAAGAGTTCTTCATGCAAGTTTAGTTTAGTTTGATTTCTTAAAATCTGTAATCAGACTGTCTTCTATGATTTAGTCTGGTAGACTGGAACCTCTAGTGTGCATTGAGTATAGTTAGAGAACTCTCAGGGTTCAGGTGGCAACTGAGCACTGACCTCTAAGAGTAAGATACAACAGTAGTAGGAGCCTATTGTTCTCTAGCTGTTGTTGAACACTTTGGGCTCCCAAAGGAGTGACAGCCAATCTGGCAGCCGCCAACCCGTGCCATAGCTGATGATGAGATGACAGTCAGCAACTCTTGACAGTCTCCTGGCTCTGTAATGTGGCAAAACTCTGACCCTTCATCTAAGCACCCTCATAGCTTTATGGTTAACATTTAATTGAAATTGCTTCCTCTTCTCACCTAGGAAAGCAATACATTGTGTCTTTTATATCTCCATAATAATGAAAAGGACTTTCTAAGCTATTTAAAGTTGACAATCAAGAAAGAACACTTGGGAAGAAACTCTTCTGTTGCTAATATTTAACTGGATATACAAGATCCACAAATTAAGATACAATCAATGATACAATCAATACATATTTATGTTGTTTCATGTAGTCTACCATAAATCCCAGCAAACCTGAGTAACAAACACAGTTTTTGATTTTAAATGGATCTGTACTTTCACTGCTGTAAAATAACAACTGTAGAGGACTTACACTTTCTCTCAGTAAAGGTGTGCTTTCTAATGAAGCTGAAGAACTCTGGACTTCAGTTTTTATAAAAAGAAATATGACAGCACTCAGAAGAGAAAAATACACCAATAAATATCATGTCAGCTCATAAGGACGTAACATTTAGTAACAAAAGTTATAATTGGAGGCACCGCTTTCATTATTACCCTAGAGTCGCTTCAACATATTTAAAAAATGCAATTGCTTTAAACAGTCATAACTTATGATTATATATACACATATATAATAAACATACATAACACATATATAAAATATAATTATAATTTATTAATTTAACTTAACTAACAAACAACCTAAGTAAGTAAATAAATCAGGTTTTGTATCACTTTATAGATCTCTCTTCTTATGCAATGGGATTGAAATGTCTCCTTTTTACAGTGTGTAGTTACAGCTACATTAACAACAGATGCCTTAGTTAAGAGTGCCCTTTTGTACCAAACCACACATCCAATGGAACACTTGTTATTCTATATGGAACAGCTTAAACCTGCACAGAACTGGCTCTACGCTTAAGGAAAAATGTTAGTTTTTAGTCTTCTATTATATGTGAGGGATTGAATACTGCTGTTACCAGGCCTCATGCATATGTGGAAGGAGAAGAGGTATTGCTCAGTGGGGCTCCAGTGCACTAAGTGAATAAAATGAAACATTACTACTTGTACCCCTGGCTCTAGGAAATGAGGTAAATACATGCAATCAGAACTGGCAGGATCTGGTTTTTATTTTTATGAAAAACATTTTAATGATTTAGGAATTTTTTTCTCCAAACTCCAAACAGAATGTCTACATTTGAAGAACTGTTCATGCCTTACTGAATAAGTATAAAAGAATGTCAGCTTCCTCCAGAAGGACTTGACAAACATATAGAGGTTCCACTCAGGAGGCTAAAATGAACTCGTCAGAGCAACCGACACAGGCTTTGTGCAGTTTGCCAGGAAAACATGTCTGGTCACAATCTTTTTCCCTGTTGATCTTTCCCCCGTGATATATCAGAAACAGGCAGGAAGCAGGTGGTGAGCTGCATGAATTCATCAGGAATGAATAGCAGTACAACTACTATTTTCTCAGTATCTCCCAAACTCATGTGCCCCACGTAACAGTAATGGGTACAAAGCTGCAGACTCTTAGGAAAGAGGGAAAGTGGAAACAAAAATCATGAAACTAAGGCAGCAGCTCTCTCTTAGCAATCAAAAATGGTTCCTTATCTCCATTGTTTCTGAAAGGTATTATGTCCACCTGCTGCTTACTACACTCGTGGAGAGCCCTTAGGATTTAGGGCTGCCTTCCGGGCAACCCAGCTGGAAAGCAAGATCCTTAAGAAGAATCCTCTTTCCTCCACGTTTGGACCAAACTGTATGCACTCATGCAAATAATAACCAACCAAAAAATAAAGAATAAAGCCCTTCTCAAGATCCCAAAGGAGGACTGTTTGGAAATTTAAAGTGTGGCTTAAGAATTACAAGACAGGGAGTTATTATGGACAGGAAAACATGCAAAGCCTCTTGCTTTTCATGGATCCCAAAGTATCAGGGAAAGGGTTCTGTGGCATTTCAGTGGTTTTTACCCTTGACTGAGTGAAATCAGATCATAAATCTGAGGTTTTCTCAACAAGATTCTTCTAGTCAGATTTGTCCTCTCTCACAGGATTTGCAGAAGTGAAACATTTCAACAATCTAGCTAGGGAGGCAATCAGGAAATCCCTGCTTTGCCTTGAACATGCATACCAGCATAAAAATATATTTCTGTGTTTATGGATAACCATGCCACCACTGTACTGGGTATCATGTATGTTCCTACTCTGAAATACAACACTGACCAGCTAGGTATGGATATGTCATGATTTTGGCACTAAACTGATTTGCAAAAAATACTTCAATACGTTCACTCGCTAGTTAAATTGTCCTTGTGGTTGATTATTAAATATATATTTTACATTACAGAAATTCATTATAAGAATAAATTGTTACCTTAACAGTGAAAGTCCAGCTCCAATATAATTTAAGATCGGTCTTGAGACCTCTTCTGGGTCAATTCCAAACCAACCAAACCTGGAACATTCAACCAGTTTCACTTAGTTGCACTGACTTTATATGAATAGTTGAGTTATAATCTAGTCTTTGAAATCTTGACTTATGTAAATAAACCTCTCAGATTAGCTCAGCTGGTTAGAGCATGGTGCTAATGATGCCAAGGTTGTAGGTTTGATCTTTACAAAGGCCATTAACCTAAGAGTTGGACTCAATAATCCTTGTGGGTCCCTTCCAACTCAGAATATTCTGTGACTTTTCATCTTACCTTAGAATTCTGTTTAAGTATATATTTGCGGCATTATATCAGTGCTTCAGTTGGCTTGCAAAAAGCTATGTCTACTTTACAAAAATAATCTTTACACTAATTTATTGTATATTAATTTTTTAAATCTGTTAAAATTCACTTAAAATTGAAGTTAAATTATTTTACAGACCATGTTACAAAAGAAAAAATACAGTGTGCTAGGTTTACACTAACAAATACATTATTTATTGACTCAAGATAATGACCATCATTAGGCACACTTCTTGCGACTGAGACAAAGGAAATATAAAAAGGTAAAATAATTAACCTGAGTACTTTCCACTAAGAGGGGATAAGTCTTAATATATGTGATAAACTCTCTTTAGAGGTAGACTTGGTAGTGTTAGGTTAATGGCCAGACTTGATGATCTTAAAGGTCTTTTCCAGGCTAAATGATTCTATGTTTCCACAGGTGATAGCTTTCGCTGCAGTTATTAACGAAGAATTGGCAACATTAATTATGTATGATTTAAGACTTAAGCATACTTACCTTGAACTTGCCCAACCTGTCAGCAAATTAAAAGAAGCCCATATCAAAAGGCCAAGAGCTAAGCCAATCGTTTTAACAATAGGAACAACTGTAATATTGCCTGAAATACAAAAACCAAAACTGAAATCAGTTAAAAAATAGAATGTGGTCTTGTATACATTTGCTTTAGATTTTGTGCCTGTTCAGAAGACAAAGAAATTTAGGAAACCACAAGGTGGTAAGAAACAGTGTTTTAAAAAATAAATACATTGAACATGGACTTTGCCTCCATATGATTTTAAAAGTTAGTTCTAGTGTGAATTTGCCTCTTATAAAATAAGCATAATAAAATAACATTTACTGTAATGGTACAGCTCCATTAATCCCGAGACTTTAAAAAAACAAATAACTACTAAATAGCTACTACCTTACACATGGAAAAGTTTTTATCACCTTTTTATGAAGCAAGAGGATTACTTTGTGTTTCAAGATATGAAATCTCTTTATCCTCACCTGTGGCCCACACAAAACCTCCAACCATAGCCAGAGGCCAAAACCGGGGGCAATTCTGGATCAAATTGACCACCAAAGAAACCATCCATATGGAGGCACAGAGAATCCATTGGAAGAACATGCCTGTGGAAAAATCATGTGCACACAACAGAAAACTTGTAGAATACTGGATGTGTGAATCTCTTAGCATAACAAGTTTACAGTAGCTCAGAAAAAATTCAAAAAGGTGTCCACTTCCTTTGTGAATTTCAGGGACCATGTTACAATATATTCAAAAGATAATTTTTTAAGGTGGGTTATAATTCTGTTAACTTTTCCTTATCATGCATTCCTTATACACAGCTGCAAAAGATACTTTGCTGCACAAAATTTACACAAGCCCTGATTCTCAAACACATGAAAACTTTGACAGAATTCTGACAAAGAGGGTATTCAGCTGCTGCAAACTTTTCCCACAACCCTAGGAGCTGCTAACATAGATGACTGCACAGGAAAACACTCCTTCAAAGCTCAAGCTTTTCCACTAATCCAGGACACTGATGATGGTCAGTGACACATTCCTTCTACCTCTGTAGATTCTAGAAGGGTCAACGAGGCAGACTGGTTAACTTTATGTCAGCTATGCTCAGACTTTCACTTTAAAGCCTCGCCTTGTCTTGTTAGGGCCATATTTGGCATGAAGAGGAGAGGTTATATCCAGCCTGCAATGCAGATACCATGATTGCAATAACAGCTATTCATCTAGGAATCTTGTAATTCATTACATTTAATATAAACACGGAAATATAACATAAACCTACTAGAGTGATGAAATTCTAAGCATGAAATAGGTAGGTTCATTTCCTCTTACCAACTCACCAAATAAACGTATTAAAATTTCAATTTTTCTATTGTTTTTATGTTAGGTCCACAAATGAAAGGCAACTTCTCTTAAGTCCAACAACTTTAACCTCATAAATAACATTGTAGGTATCTGAGAATCCCCACAAGGATAGAAGAAAGGACATTTCACTTTCCATTGTGAAATGCTCATGAAATGTACATCACTGTTAAAGTGCACAACAGTTAAGAAAGCTCTTCTAAAGATCTGTCACACCCTGAAGCAGTATTACTGCTTTTTACCCTAACATCAGCAAAGAAAATTAAACATACTCTACTGGATTAAAACTGTGATGATATTTACAACTCTAGCACAGAAACTCTTGTATTTGCTGGTAAAATATTATTCCTATTAGCAAACATAGAAAAACAGACAAAATAAGAGAGTTTACCATCACCAGTATCAAACTTCTTAACAGGCACAAAATTTGTCCCAAACAGAAGGACAGCTACTGCAGAAGAAGTAAAGCCAATAGCTAGATCTGTTCCATTGCTGGTGTTAGCAGCACTGTATGCTTTTCCGATATTCATCTTTGTTCTGTAGGTGCCTCTTTTTGTGGAGTTGTTTTGCTGCAGGTCCTGACAGATTCTGAAATAAAAGACTGGAATTAAATATGTGGAGTATTAAATAATACCAGTGCAGTTCAGAAATCAAAAACTTAAAGGACCTGACTAATCTCTCAAAAGCTGGAATGAACTGCAAAGTATACTGTAGAATCTCATGAGATGTGAAGCTGCCATAAAATATGAATAAAGTGATTTAAGAACAGATGCACTACTGTTTCATAACCAGCTTCACAGAAAAACATGTCTGAACACATAAAAAGCAAACGTAGAGGTGCACTCAAAGGTTATGAGGACTTCAATCCATGGGAAGCCTGATGCTTTAGTGAGATGTTCTATCAGACTATTCCTTATTCCTGTAGCCAAAGGGCAGGCCATACCGGGATGTATAAAAAAGCTGGGGTTAGACAAAATCTTAATTGGCAGAAAAAGCTATAGCAATCTGCAGACCCACTTTCTAGAAGTTGTGAACAGCTAAAGAGATTCTATATATGTCACAGTGGGATCAATACAAGATCATAAGGCAACCAAAGGGATTGCTCTAGCTGATAAAAACCATGAAAGGTTCATTTTTTCTCTGGGGAACAAGGTTTCTTCATTCATTCCACATAACTATAATAAGAAAACCAAAGGTATTTTTAATCCCATAATACCTCTCTCTTTTTTTTTTAAGTGGGAGATTCATCTTGAGGTTACACTCAACAGATGTGCCACATATATACTTTTGATATGGATTATAACTTTGGCAGAATGATTTCTCTGAGGACAATCATAATTATGTGAACTCTGCAAACATAATCTTACCACCACACTTGAAAGACTACAGGTAGGAAAAGTGTTTGGAAATTTAACTTGAAATGGTAACAGGATACTTAATATGTTGCTATAGCGATATTCATCCAATTCTCTTGTCAAAGTAATGCTATTTGTATTGAATCAAATGACATCCCAATACAGTTTGCCACTCCCCAGTGTAGGTGGACTAGCTACTGCCTGGAGAAAAAAAGCTGAATTAGGATGGTGGAAATTTTGCCAAGTCTTGTAAGAGATGTTGTGACTACACTCTCTGCACAAAATAAGAGCTGAGCTGCTGAACATTCTTTCATATTATTTCACCCTCCAGTCTTACCTTCTCCACAGTCCTTAGGACACCAAGAACTGTAGCTCCTGAGGTTATGCTTTTATCTGCATCTTCAACAGGGTCATCAGTGGTTGCTGAAATTAATTATCTGTATTAGAAGATGAAAAACTCAATTCCACAACTATATAACCATTTAATTTCTGTAATTTTTCCCCTCAAAAGATATCAGTATAGCTCTAACTTAAGAAAAATACAGATAACACTTAAAAGACACATCATGAAAGTACAATGGCAAGGCTGTTTCAATTTATATTGACTTTTTTTCTCCCTCCTCATCTTCCTTTCCTGCTTAGCAGATAAGCTTCTCCAGGAACTTTTCACTGTATTTAAGACTCTTCTACAAAGTGTGTTTTACCCAGGACCTGTAGACACTGATCAGTGCAAATAATAATTCCGAGATTTCTTCAAAAACTCGACTTCACAGGATACACTGTGACATGACAAGAAAAGATCAATATAGATAAAGGCTGGCATCAGCTACCTTCATTCCATTAACCTCAACTCACTAAGTGAATACATTTATTCATTTAGTGCACAACTAAGACACAAGAGCTGGGTTTTGCACATGAACACCATGCTGTTAAGGACACAGAATTAAAGCTGATTACACTGCACCTCTGTGAATGCAAGAATCACACCTTTTGCCTTTAAATAAATGAGTCATTATGCAGGTAAGATACTACGAACCTTTCAAATTTGAAGTAGCTTATCTGTCTTTTGGTTTTGTACAGAAAATTGTTACTTTAAAAATATATCAGTTTTGTATCTACTAAGAGAAAATCTGTGTGCTGCAGGGCAATACACTCTTCTGCTTGCTTCGTATCTTCCAAAAATCTCTGTATTGTACACATTTAAGACTGTTGCACAGTTGGAGAACCAGAATCGTAATACCAAAACCAGAAAGACAACTCTACTTAACTAAGGAAAAGTGTCCTTCATTCAGACTGCTTAAAACTCTGTTACTTTCCAAAGTTTGTGACACTTCGTTCCAACTTCGGCTAAATTTCAGACTCAGCTTTCAACTCCATTTTAAATCCTTCAAGAGAAAGCCCAACTAGACAAGGCCTGGTGCAACATTCTCTAACTTCAACGGCAGCACTGCTTTAAGCAGGGAGTTGAACCAGATGATCTCTAGAGGTTCCTTCCAAGCTAAATAATTCTACTATTGTATGATCCAATGTCAAGAGCAAATAACGATCCGGCACACAGCATTAAGCTGACTATGCTTTTTGCACATACAGAGCTTCAGAGAACTCCCTAAAAGCCTCTTCTCTTCAATCCTGTGTTACTGCCACCTGGACTTGCTTATATGCCTCCATTATAGATACCAAATGCCAAATCAGGATCACTTCCTGAAGCTGCCATATTAGAGCACAGTGGTTGCATCTGAAAATCAAGCAGAGACAACTGGAATTGTTGCTGTTATTGAAGGCTTTTTTTCCCCCCTAAATAGCCCTTACTGAAGGGCGCTTCAGGGTTCCCAAGCTGTAGAAGAAATATAATGGGCTTCTGTTGGCACATATTCCGCTTATCCTACTAACTTCACTGGTTCACCTCACTGGAATGTTGTGCTCTCTATTTCCACTGTTTTCTCAGAAATTTGCCACTATTTGCTTCCTTCACAGAGATACACAACAAATTATGATGCTCACTTAATGCAACAGCAACACATTGCTGTGGTTTCCACAGAGAGGCATGAAATCAAGAAGCCTGCCTTTGGGAGCTTTCACCCCAAAGGAGACCCGAGCTGCTGTTAAGATCCCAAATAAACTGCTTGCGCTAATGGAATGGGTAATTCCACGTTGACTGTTTATTTGCCCGTTTCTCCTATCATGTACTTGCCATTTAAGAATGGATACTTTCACCCCGAATTTAGGAGATTGCTACCAGTCTAAACGTCGCTCAGAGCGAAGTCCCCAGGTGACACCGCAACTTATGACTAGAGTTGCTCAGCAAATGTGTGTTCCCGTCCCCGAAACGAACGCTTTTAAAAGACGTTCTTCCGGCAGTGTTTTCAGCAAGCGCTATCACGGAACACGGAAATTGTTCAGCCGAGCGCTCCACACAGGCCCGTGTGGCTGCACCGACGGGGCAGCGGCGGGGCGGACCCGGCCGTCTCGCAGACGCGGCTGCTCGCCGCACGCCGCGGGGACACTCGAGGCCGGCTCAACCGGACGCTTCCGTGCCCAGCGCCGCGCCCGGCTCACGCCGCGGCCGGTTTTAGGTCCTCCGCTGCCGGCCGGAAGGCGCGCGGTGACGAGCCCGCACCGGCTGATTCCTCGCCGGCCCTACGTGCAGCCTCGGCCTCTCCACTCCCGCGCCCCTCCGGCAGCCGCCGGCCCGCCCCACCCGCTACAGCCGGGGGCCGCGTACATGCCTCGCCACGCTCCAGCGCGGCTCCCGCCGCGCCAGCACTGCCCCGCCAGGCACCGCCGCGCCTCGTCCGCATCCGCCCCTGTCCGCCTCATCCGCCCCTGTCCGCCTCACGCCCCTGTCCGCCTCCACCGCCCCTGTCCGCCTCCATCCGCCCCTGTCCGCCCTCAGCCTGCCCGTCGGCTGGAAGTGCGAGGAAGAGAGCCAAGGGTGGCACGCGTCCGCCTTTCCCTTGCTGCCATAGCGGAGGAGACTTCCTGGGGCGTCGGCTTCCCGTCTAGCGGGGGACAAACACTGAGAGAAACCTTAGATTAAGGCGCTGACGTTGTGACAAAAGCGCCCTTGCCCCTGCCGGCCGTAAGCGGCAGCTGATGAGACAGTTCCCACCGTGGTGAAGTGCACCCGTGTACTTCACAGGCCGATGCTGTGCTGTAACTGCACATGCAAGAATCACAAAATCAGTCAGGTTGGAAAAGACCTTTGAGATTGTAGAGTCCAACCTATGACACCACCACTGTGTCAACTAGACCATGGCACTGAGTGACACGCCCAGTCTTTACTTAAACAGCTCCAGGGATAGTGACTCTACCACCTCCCTGGGCAGTCCATTCCAATGTCTAATGACCCCTTCTGTGAAGAAATTCTTTCTAATGTCCAACCTAAACCTCCTCTTGCAGTTTAAGGCTATGTCCTCGCATCCTGTCACTAGTTGACTTAGAGAAGTGAGTGACCCCCACCTGGCTACAACATCCTTTCAGGTGATTGTAGAGAACCATAAGCTCATCCCTTAGCCTTCTCTGCTCCGAGCTAAACAACCCCAGCTCCTCCTTCAGCTCCTGCACTTTAGACCTGTGCTCCAGAAAAGGCGCCCAAGTTTTGGCAGCACTTACCCAGCAACACAGCCATGGTTCAAAGATGGGACTGTTCCCACAGGGGATAGCATGGTCTCCTTAAAGGGCCTCTCTTGCTCCTAAGGCCTCCCTGACTGCTGGGGGGCTTCCACGGGGCTGGGGGGGTCACAGGCACCTGCTGAGAGGGGCAGGCATGTCAGGGAAGGCAGGGACATTTCAAGGCCATGCAGCAGCCTGTGGTGCACAGCAAGGCAAGGAAAGCCCCCAGGCTGGTCAGAGCATCCAGGGTTTGTTCTCTTAAGCACAAAAATTACCACCAGTTGCTCTGGAAGCCCCTGTGTTGTTTGGCAAACAAAATCAAGTAGGGAAAAAAACTTTTATATGCTGTCAAGAAGAGATTTTTGCAGATTTCCCTGTAAGGATTTGATCCAAACCAGCTAAAGCACAGACTATTAGTCAGCATGTTTAGTCATGAAGCAAACATTTCTCTCTGTGCTGTTGAAGTACAGTTACCAGATGGCAGCCCAAATTGATCCCCTTACAAACACAGCACGACCCTTCTAAAGTAATGCTTCATATTTTGCAAATCAAATCTGCATTTTCCATAATAAGAATTTATGGTTTTTCTCTGGAGAATAAGCTCTCATTCCCTTGGATCCAGTAAAGCGAGGAATGCACCATTTATCAATCAATTTAACATAAATGTCTGTACATGTGTCATTTAGAGCTGAACTGCAGAACGTCTCTATGGAAACAGTTTAGCTATAGTGCATCCAAGAGGAACAAATGTAGCCCGGAAAAAAAAAGAATTCTAAAGGCAGTGCAAGTATATGTGTTATATTATGTTATTTAGAAGAAAAGTATTAAGAACAATATTAATCTTTCATGTTGAATTGCCTGCACATAGAAAGCAAGAGCACATTAAGGAGCCTAGTCTGTGACTGCATCATTTCAGGTATCCAGGGATAAAGACAAGTCAAGATGCAGGAGCTTGTGCCTGCTGGTCATTGATACAGTCCACCTATCTCCTGCAGATTGGCCATAGGCTGTTGGCTAGGAAGACTGGCAGCAGTGCAGGCCACCAGCTGTTTCAGAGTCTGTAGCTTGTCCAGCATGATCAGCAGCACCCTGGGTCACAGTTCTTCCCATCAATACAGGTTGATCTGGTTTCCTCTACAAATGCATTTATAGATGGGGATGCATTTCTGAGGTTAAACCAAAACCAAATCGAAAAAACAAAACAAAAAAAAGGGGGAGGGGGAGAAAATAATTGCAAATATTCAGTTCTTTTATTCATTTACATTTGCAAACTATATCTAGGACTGTGAAGGACTAGAAAATACTTCTTAAATTCCCCTCTTCCATCTATTGCTATTTTCCTATATTAGTTCCTATATTCCTGTGTTCCTAACCTTAGGAAGGGATAACACTGACCATGAAATATGGGTATATGAAAAAATTACATAAAAAGCTGAGTTTAATGGATGCAAATGACAGTATCTCAGATACAGTTTAGAGCAAAGAACAAATATAGACTCTAATGGACATTACAGGCTAAACATAGGTAGGCAAAGTGAAATAACATAGGCTGGAATTTGGTCAGACAATAACCATGTTCAGTCTATTCTTTCTAAAAATTTGTCTTGCATATTTTATGACCACAGAGGAAGTACCGTTTTAGCTCAGTAGTGCCATTTAGTGACTTGTTCCAGCTTTGGTCTAGAATAATTCCAGAAAGAAGAACATGACCCACCTGAATAATGAACATTATTTTTTTTGTTTTTCCTGAAACATGAAGAAATGTTTGTTTTCCAAACAACTCCATAGTCATTCTAGCCTTAATTATTTCATGGTATCTAGTAGTGTACTGGAGCTGTACACCACAAGACCTGAAAAAAACCAAAAAAATGTAATTTGGTATTTTAGCTTTTAAATGTCCAAAATTAGAGCAAATATCTGCTAAATTAACAAGATACTGTATTCCATTTTGTTGAATTTCTACCATCATCTATTCCAAAGAATGTGCTGGTGCATGAGAAAGCCTCAAAAAACCCCTCAGCAGTCAATACTGTACATCAGTGGTGACAGCACGTTATGATTTCAAGGTTGCAAATGAAACGAGGAAGGAAGAACAATTTTCCATATTCATTTATAATTTCTTCCAGATAATCTTTAAAGAATTGCAGTAGGAAGATTTTACAGATTCCAAAATTTCAATTTCAGAGAAATGTTATAGTATAGGAAAGCTGTTAGTAACTGAGAATGTACCATGTTTTGGCGCTGCTTGGTTGTAATGGACAGGCCACAGTGCTGAGTACATGCAAGAACAAGGCATTTGGAAACAATTGTTGCAGTGTGATGCATTTCTGACTCAAGCAACTTGTCTGGAGCTTTTTGAATTGATTTTCTTTGCTTGGGATATGTCTCATCAGTCACATTTGAACTAAAAAATAAAAAAAGGGAGAAAAACTGAAGTGGATGGAGAGATTTCTTACAACCCTAATTCCTCCAAAAAGTCAGATTTGGATAAAGGAGATGATATGAAGGCTCTTTCACTGGTAATGGGCATAGATAATGAAATTTTAACTTGACAGTACATATTTAGACAAAAACGTAAAGTTATGGCTTATGAAAAAATCCACTCACAAAGTTTTATAAATTCAGATTGGACCAATAGGAACCATAAACTAATTCCTTAATTGTCTATTCCCCTTTCCTATTAACTGTGGAGAAGAGAATATCTCCATTAGCTTGAATTACAGTGAACATATAAATTTTATTATTTTGTATTTTGACTAGGCAAGGAGACAGAAGTCAGAGCTTTGCCAGTGTCTCGCTGCTTAAGGGTGCTCAGGCTTTTAACTTCTGCCTGCCTCAACTTTCCCAGCTGTGTAGTGATTAGGCTATGCCACACTTTGGAAAGCACAAATAGGAAACTGCTGAGCTGTTTAGTAGCATATAAATAGAATTTAAAAATTCCCTATCTGTTTTTAATTTCTCATCACAAGAATATATGCTTCCCAAAAGTTCTAAAATCCAGGGGGCAGGGGATATTTTAAATTAAAAAGTTCAGTAAACAAACCTAAACGTGGAAGAGAGAATTTTTTCAGTACATTTGCATGCAGTGCACTAGAGGGCCCTCAGGAGTTAGAAATGGATGGAATGCACTTTTGGAAGGCATATACTTCACAGAACTTTTCATTACAGAATTTAAAATAGAAGTTGCTGTGGTTTTGTGTGTGTGGGTTGTTTTTTTTTTTTTTAATAATGTGAGGTTCATGTAAGTTTATAGCAGTTCATATGCAAACCACCTCTCAGTAAAGTTAGCTTCCAAATTGTACTTAGCTTGCAATGAAATACCTAAATGTGAACCATACTTAAAACTGAAATATGTGCTAGACGCCAGCTCAGTTACTTTTATTGACCTAAGGAGTTTACCAGAACAAAGGATGTGTCAAGCTGAATAGGTAAGAAATTTTATTTTTATAGCAATATACATACAATGTGCACTTATTCTATCTTTGTTTCTTTGGAAAGAGGTATCAGCCACTGTCATTTCATTTTAAAACTATAGCTAGATACTTTTTATAGCTTCAGAAGTGTGAAGAGAATTAACCATCTTTCATTTTTAATGTGTGTTTATGAATTATGTGAATTATATTCATGTCAACTAGGGAAATTTGGCAATGCTAATATATTTTTATATTAATGAATATGTGCATATTTAACTACTACAGTTACTGGTGTTAATATTTGGATAATTTACAGCATTTCCATAACCTAAGGTTTAGTGAAAACTTTATCTCATAAGAAAAAGATAATGATCTGAGTTTGACAAGCTTTTCTTCTAATGCTGTAATACAGCCAGCTGAGATTACAAATTGAGCCTATATTTAATGATTTTTGTGTTTAATTTATACTGTAATGAGAAAGTGAAAGATGTATCTTGACAAATTTCTACGTACATACTGTCTCATCTGGAACTTTTTTCCCTGGAAAATATAGAACTACAGATGCCACATGTGAGTAATGAAATGAAATGTTACTGTTTTCTTTTTGCAGTTTGTAAAGGAGATACATCAGATCTTTTAGACTACAAGTCAGTAAACTTTGCTTACGCAGCTGGCTCCATTCATTCTCTGAAACCAATCACTTTCCCTGTGGTGGCTGATAAGAATTTAACAGCTTGAGAAGGTGGAGTGCATCCTTAGTGCTAACCACTTTCCCAGGCATATCAGTAGCCTCTGTCCATCACCCATGCTGGAAGCTAGTTGGAAAACAAGAAATAGAAATTGGGGAAGGAAAATCATGCATCATCATCCTGGCTGTAATGCACCGAAGACTTTATGCTGTTTTCATCATGTGGATTCACCAGAGAAATGACCACCTTTGATCAGCAAAGTAAAATCAAAAACTTGTTTATTTGCTGCCTGTGCCCCTCGCGGGTGTTGAGGCTCTGGACTTGCAGGCGCCCAAGGACAAGGAGGAATCTGCTTGTGGGCACCGCCTGTGTGATCTACCTGGGATTCCTTGTCAGTCAGGTTGGTCATGTTTTACCCCAGCACAAAGGAGGACATCAAAAGATCAGTTCCAGAAGTCTCCAAGATGCAGCCCAAACTCCTTTTCTGGGCATCCCACTGGATGGCACCCTGTCACCACCCAATTTCCAGGAACCCCAGCTGGGTAGCAATGGGACCTTGCTGCCACCCAATGTAGTTTATATCACCCTGCGGTCCAAGCGCAGCAAGCCTGCCAATATCAGAGGCACAGTGAAGCCAAAGCGCAGGAAGAAAAATGCAACGCCTTTGTCCTACGGGCAACATTTTCCAAAAGCCACTTTTATGGGCCTGGAAAAGGCCTTTGCCCAACAGCCAGGGAGGGCCATGCATGCCACGGGCACAATGGGAGCAGCAGTAGCTCTGGAGGCAAGAAAGTACCAGCTGGATGAACATAGAAATAAAGGAATGGTGATTGGGGAGAGGGGTCATCGGAGACCTGGGATGATTTCTGGAGCTGTGAAGGCACAGCCCCAGCCTGAGGAAAGCAATATCAGGATTTACAGTGAGAGCTCTCCCTCGTGGATGAGCAAAAATGACATCCTAAACATGCGAATGCTGGCAGATTCTCCGATAGAGAGCATCCAAGAAGTACCTTCACACAAAGCAGTCCTGGTCGTGTTTGCAGGAGGTCCCAGCACCGCAGGAACTGCTTGTGATCAAGGACACTGTGGGATCGTCAAAAGACCCCTCGACATGAGCGAAGTGTTTGCCTTTCATTTGGATAGGATCTTGGGGCTAAACAGGAGCTTACCTTCTGTAAGCAGGAGATCAGAGTTCTTCCAAGGTAACACATTCCTATGGTTTTCAGCTTGCAGGTGAGGTACAGATGTTTCTTCTCCCCTCCCATGTTAGCCATGGGGCAGCAGCCACCACCTTTAACTCCTGAGACCCCAAGAGCTAACCCTGTTGGTAGAGGGAAATAAAGCTGGTATAACTTCTGCAGTGCAGTTATCCTGTCCAAAGGATGCAGTACCCCAAAGTTTAGGTCAAATACCGTTGAGTTGTTGAGGGCAGTAACAGTTTCTCTTACATGAGAATCTGGAATGAGAAAAAAGAGAGAGTGTAATCCGTAGGTTGCATGAAATTATAGAAACTGCCTGAAATGAAACTGGTGAAAGAGGTTCTGGAATACTCCATGATTCAATGGGTATTTCTGATGTTTTTTAAAAAAAGTTTTCTCATCTTTTAGAATTGATTTCAATCAAATACTGTTGAAACTGGGCACAAAAATTCATCTCTTAGGTGCTAGGAAAGGGGGGTTGTATTTAGGCAGATAATCTACTCAGAGAGGTAGGGAACTTTCCTGCAGAAGCTTGAATCTACTTCTATGGTACTAATCCCCTTGGGAACTGAAAATTTTTTTAAAAGTGCTTCCCTCTCCTCTGGTACTTAAAAACCAAATAAACTACATGTCAGTGGATCTCGCTGTACATTTTGAGGTTAACTACACATGTCTATATATTATCCAAAGAAACGTACACAGTAAATATCTCAATATGGCTGTTACATGATAGGCATAGAGTTTTCAATTAAAAATTTGATTTCTAACCTTTAGTGAAATTAAAGGTAAGTTTCAGACATGTAATGTGAGTTTTAACATTGCTACCTTCTTAAATATGTCTTCAGCATAACTGCTATTTTTGTACAGTCACCAATCACAATCCAGAAGGACTATGTTGCATTTTAATGAATCACTGCAAAAGTAGCTAGCTATGTTTTTGCTGTTCATTTCTTGCTGCTGAAATTAGCTTATAATAAATACTTTTATATCAGTCTACATTTCTTAAAAAGAAAAGTAATGCAAGAATGACTTTGTAAAGTCTGTCAGCAGGAAGACAATCCAGTGATGTCCAGTTTCTTCCTCCTTTGTAAACCTTCCCTGTAAAACCTGTACAACAATGTGAATGAATCTCTAGGAACAACAGTTTAGAGGCTTCTGAATATTATTCGTAGTTGCAGAGCATGGAAGATACATTATGCCTATTTTATTTTTAGGAACAACATCTATTGCTATAGAGCTGTCCTAAGGCATTAAGGTAGCTCGGTTGGAGGAACTCTGCATAGTGTGGCTGTGGAGATGACAGACTGCAAAGCTTGGAAAACTGCTGTTAGGCTAATTGTGCATTGTGTTGCTCATTGTCTGTCGCCTTACAGTATGTTTTAGACTGTCTGTGACAGAGTGTGTTGTTCTGCCCTCTTTAATTTTCTCTTCCTCATAACTGACTATGTTCCTATTGCAAGAGGAGGGTTGCTAGGTGATGAGAAGAGAAATAACATTATTTTGGTCTCACTTCATTTTTTCCAGCTAAAAGCTGAACAGAGCATTTGGAACAGTGATTGTACCTTGTCTCTCACCATTTCTTTAGCCTGGAAATATGCTGGAGCTCAGATACCTAATAACTACTTGAGCTCTTTACTGTTGATGTGCTTGTGTTGGGCGTAATCTGAGAACATCTGTGTTGAGCAAATGAGCAAAAATATATCCTTAAAAATAATATGAACAATTAGCTCATTTCTATGACCCATATGCATTTCAGTTAAGATTAGGTGGGCATTGTAAAGTTTTTTACAGGGTGGCTTTTGTAAAATAGTTATTCACATGGGAAAGCAAGCAATGCAGGATTAAAGACTGTGCATGTGTGTATGAATGTACACTATTTCTGGGCTGACACATCTCTCTCCCTGACACATCCCTTTTGCTTGCCCCAGTTGTGATGTGATCTAACAAGACATGTTTGATGTAGCATTAAAATCTTAAAAAATGGGCTTTTCAAAACTGTCATTCATTTTGTCAAAAGCAGTTTCAAAGAACTGCTTAGTGAATCCCTCTATAGGTCCTGTCTCCCTTATTCTCATAAATCTGCCTCTGATTTTTTGTCTAAAGTCTATCAATACACTGTACTCAAGTCCCCTGTCTGCTACGCTCACCTACCTTACTTAATTGTCAGAGCTTTTAAGTGTTAACTGAATGTTTTTATCGTTTGTCTAATTTTTCTATCATGGATGGAAAAATCAGGTATGATAACTGTCTCATATTTTTGCGATGCATTTTCTGAACATAAATACCTGGGAAGTACAGGTAGGAAAAGCCCCTTTGAGTTTAGCGTAACAGACTAAAAGAGCATGATTTTGGGCATACGCAAGCAGTCATGCTTTCCTCCCATTGCTACCTACAAGTTGTGAAAAATGTTGAGAGCTCCAAAACATCTATAAACAGAGAAGGACAAGCCTGTAAAACATCAAGAAATAATCATAAAATTGTGTCTATTGGAGACGATGGAGGCTGAATCTTATGTGTCTGAGTTTTGAGATGGTCACATTAATACCACAGTAATGAAAATCCTCATTATTTCATAACCCTAACCTGAGGAACAGAGGAGACATAAGGGACCTTGCTTGGTGTTGCAGCTCTGTGTTAATTACCTTTGCACAGAAGCTAAGTAAAATGACTGCACGTGTTGCCTCTATCTCAGCAATCGAATTTTCAGGGTAGGACGATGGCAATGCTTGTTAGGGCTTCAGCTACAACAGGACTAACATGAGCTGGAGAAGGGTTGCTTCTCTGTTGCAGCTGACAGCTGTAAGGATAGCACTCTGGTTCCTTGGATCATAGCAACAAGGCTGAGTCTTTATTCAGCTTTTGGTACTATATATAATTATTGCTATGCAATTTTGTTGCACCACTTGCTGAGGGACTGAACTACTGCATGCTGTCGACTACCTCTATTCTTCTCTGACTTTCTGATAACCTAAAATTGGTTAAATATGTTTTATACTGTGCTGAAAAGAACAGAAACGGGTGTACTCAATTCAGCTTAATTTTTTTTTTAGCTAAAGATCTAATCCACTATTTGTCCAGAACCTCTTTCTTTTTGTCACCCCCAAACATGCAAGAAACTCTTCCTTTGAATAACACCTTTCATGTTTGCATGATTTAGTACAAATAGCTGAATGATGTGATAGATAGCTCCACTGGTTGCACTTGTCATTTTGCTTTACTGGCCTCTACATGATGATAAATGGAGCCATAAGCTTTTCCTTGTTGTACCCTGTGTTATCAGACTGTCCTTGCCATCTCATCAAAAGTTATGCAAAAGCATAACATATTATGAATCACTTATGTCAGGGCAAAGAATAAAACCCCAACCCAAGACTGCTTTATGCATGCAGGGTACTCTAAAATACTTCCCTATAGTGCTGTACCTCTCAGAGGGGTAAGAGAATATTTCTAATATTCTGTTGGGTAGAGAAGTTTGTGAATAAGCAACAATGCAGTCCATAGTCTAGAGAGCAACTAATGCACATTTCATGCATTCCTTAATACTGACATCTATATGAGCACAGGACAAAAACATTGCAATGAGTTGCACAGGGAAGAAAGAAAAATAAATGGCCTAAATTCTCTCTGCTTTCTGCTTCTGTCCCTTATATTTTCCCTCAGAATTTAAACTCTCAAAATCAAGTAATGATCTGTATGTCAGTCCCTCTCATTTTCTACACTAAATTGCCCTCTCCTTCAAATATGTGAGCAGCTAAACTGCTCCTTGCAAATGTGGCAGTGGTAAGCTGTACTGCCAAACAATGATGAGTTTGAGAAAGGGCTTTAGCTACCTCATGAATGGTTTTCTGGTTTTAGTGTTGCTGTTATGGGGCATGTTTGAAATTATTTTCTTTTAAGAAAGTTAGAAAAAATGCTGTAGCTGCAAGTTAGAGCACAAGATGAGAGTGATATTTGCAAGAGCAAAATGTGATGAAGAAGAATGCAGACTATTTTTGAAGTGACATGGAGTGTGGATATCTAAGATGATGCCTGTGTTGAAGAAGGCATGCAGTGATACATTACTTAGCTGCACGTGATGCAGTTTGAGTACCTTGAGGTAGTCTAGTCTCAGCAGCCTGAGGTTTCATCTGTGTTAGTTTATTCAACTTAGCAAAGACATTTTAGAAATATTTTGATATTCAAAGATGTGTATGATTTACTAGGAAGCTGGTTTCAACATGAGTTCTGAAAAATCTTTCCTATAGAATTTTGCAAATTGCCTTTGGATGGTTAGGTAGATATACAGATCTAAAGTGGCAGATGAAAGTTAAATGAAGCCATTGAGCTTTGGGGGAGATTCAGTGCAATGCAGCTGCAGCAAAAGAAAAGCAGCAGCCCTTGGTGTTAATGTATAAAGCTGAATAGGAGAGAAGGACATACAGAATACACTGGACTTATTCTGAAGTGTACTCAACCTTCTCAGTTTTGGCTGTAGGTCTCTTCACTATTCAGGTGACTTTAGCCCCATCCTCACAAGGTTTGAATCAGAAGAGCTCCACTTATTTCATTATGGTCATGCCAGTTCATCCAGCTGTGAATCAGACCCCTTATCTGATTTAATTCGGAATCTTCATGTTTTTCCCGCAAGTGTCAAAAATCTGAATCACAGCTCTTTATTGAAGCTGCTGTTTCATATTCCTGTAATTCAATTTATATTACAGAGTTGAAGGATTTTATTTTGGCTCATCTTTTCTGCCCCCATTTCCTCTGAAATGCAAACATTTCCTGCATTTAACCTTACTCTTTTAAAAATGTTTTTGTATCTTAGTGGAAACCGGCAAGATATTATTAATATTTTTCAAGTATTTATATTACTATTGTTTATCATGTCCTTTTTGGGTAGACAGGAGATGTTTGTTTTGTTAGAAGACTGTTTATGTATTTGGTTTGTGGGAAAATTCATGAATAGTTACATAAGCTGTTACTGGAGATATAAAAATAATAGATCAAGCTTGGTCCTGAAGAAAGCAATCCTTTTTTTGTGACAATTTCCAATGCTTATATAGACTTTCTCCAACTCTCTGGGAAAAGAAGCCTAGACGATAGTTGACCTAACTTGGCTAAAGTCATCTTCAATGTAGGCAATGGAGCCAAAGCAAGAGAGATGGAGAAATGGGTAAGATTTCCCAAATTAGTTACCTAAATACTTATTCAGGAACCTCAGTAGAGGAGAAGCCTGATTTTCAGTAGTGCTCAGCACTTTTTTTCAATGGAGGAAAGAGTATGGAGCATGCTGCTGATAAAGGTAATACTGATAATGAAAGAGAGATTGATGTTCCTAATAGAAGAACACGCTCTGTGTTCTAAGAAAGCATTGGACAACTGGGAAGGAAGTTAAAGAGGTGATGAAGCTGCATGTTGGTTTAGGTTGGCTTGTCTTGGCTTGGGAAGGACTACCTTGTATGTGCAAGCCACGGCAGAGAGAAGATCAAGTACGTTTTGGTTTTGGAAAGGAATTAGTTTTTCTCTCGGGCTTGATTGCATGCAGGACCTCTCTTGCTTTTTTGGTGAACACAAGATGGAACTTGACATATGTTTCAGTGCTAGGTATGGGCAAAGATAGTTTCTCACTTGTTGTTTTAGACCAGTCAGCATCCTTTGAACAAGTTGCTTTTTGATTCAGCTGTATGGAGATAGTTTTTCACAGTCCTGGCTGCTTACAAGTGTAACATTCACATCAGCAGCTTTTACCTTGCTGTTGGCATTGATACCTGCTTTCCCTGTGCTATTCTCTGTCTGGTTTGCTTCTAGAGAAGGTGCCTTGGACCTTTTACCTCCATGTGAGTTTCTGAAAGCTTTTTTTCAAATCTGTCTGTCTCCATGGGCATGTGGAAGACAAAGAGACAGTTTAGGCTGCCTTTAACTATGCAGTAAATTGTGCAATAGTGTAGACTTTAAGTTAGTTGACCTTCAAGATGAATATGAATAATTTTTAAAGCTTTATATGTGTTTGAACACTTGTTATTTAGTAAAGAGCAGCTTTGCAGATAAATGGTTCTTCCTCTCTGTACCAAGACATATTTTGGTCTTTTGTCTACGCACCCAAAAATGTAAAGAATTTCTTTGTTTTAATGTGTGTACAAGCCACAGTCAGTCATGGGTCCTTGACAGTTTAAGGCAGCAGTAGCATTGCATCAACCATAAAAGGAGAGTTCCACTTTCCCAAGAAGATAGATACATTTGTTACTTGACATTTCATGAAATATATTTGCCAGTTCTTATACTGAGAAAGCTCATTTTAAATTCTTTCATGAGATTTCTTCTCACTGAGAATTCTGAACACCTGAGTTCACCAAAGAGAAGTCCCTTTTCTCTGTTTCAGGGAAGAGCAGAATATTCTTTACACAGAGGAACTAAAGAATTTGGCCAAAATATCTGCTATACAGAACAGTTCTCATCTCTAGGTAAAAACCCCAAACTTGTCAAGGTGTTTATTCTTGCTAAACTCACACATTCTAGTATTCTCATATATCTTTTCAGAGCTCTGAAGGCATAAATACTTAAGGTCTAAAGTACTAAAGATAATAAAATAAACCCACTCTGAGTATAGAATTTGCAGTGTTTCTATATCCATTATGCAGAAAGAAACCCCTTTGACATGTGTTCAACTCTTGAAAATCAGTTCACTGGAATCAGAGGGAAATTACATTGTTGATTCAGAGTGTAGGCTCTTAATTTACCTAGAAACTTCGTAATAGTTTAGTTTAGTATACGATTTTGTACATTAATCTCTTGCTTCAAACAGGAAAAGCCTTCTGTCCACTGAAGGCATTTATGCCTATGCTTTTGTTCCTATGGTGGCTGGTGTTGGATGTAGAATAAGACCACGTTGACCAAAGGATGTCAAGTTATTAGTCCCTGGCTGTTTTTCCTGCCAGATCTGTAAAATGTCTAAAGAAAAGTCAAATAAGACTGACAGTATTGCACTATACTAATGATGGTTTTTTTTCTTTTTTCAGGTGGTCAAGCCTGTCCTGTTATTCTCTGGGATTCCTCACTGAGTCCAACAGATAATAGTACCCATTCTTCAGTGAGGTTAACATGGGGACAATATCAGCAGCTGTTGAAGCAGAAATGCTGGCAGAATGGTAAAGTTCCCAAAGCTGAGTGGGGCTGTACTGAAATCCACCATCATGAGTGGTCCAAGATGGCACTTTTTGATTTTCTTCTGCAGGTAAATCGCTTACTGAGCACAACTATCTGCTTCAAAAATCATGTGAGCAAACACAGGACTCTTAGGAAACGTAATTTTAGTCTATTTCATTTTTTTTAATGGGAAAGAGACGTATCTGCATAGTTTGAATTTATTTCTGTTTTTTTTTCTTATGATTAAAATATCCAAAATGCAGTTTATAATCAGGGAAAGAGATCAGGAACATAACTGACTAATTTCCTTTTAAAGAGGAAGCAAAGGCTTTTGACTTGTTTTATTTCACCTTGAGACAGGCATACTGTTTCTCCTTCACTCCTTTTTTCTCCAAAAGAAAAAGATCTTGACTATGTTCACAACTGTAAATCTCTGTTTACTGTGTGGTCCTTCTTGTACCTCCCCAGCCCCCAGAGGTAACTGAAGTGGTTTTGGTGAGCTGCAATCTGGATCAAGATAGCTGTAGTTGCTAGTTTTCCTTTTTTAAAAAAGTGTAGCCAGTTCCTTAGCCAGGAAGGAGTGTTTGGTTTTTCACATAATTTAGTTTTTAAGAGGGTGAAATTTCTTGAAATTTAAAAATCATGACTTGGCTTATGCATAGCCTATCCCTGTTCTTCTTAGTCCTGTTAGAGAATGAACTCATGTCTCCAATTTTTTTAGTTATATTTTTGCATATTTGCTACATTAAACAGAGCATTCAATTATTCTCCAAAAATAGATTGCCACTTGTCTAATAACTCCATCTTTAGTCCCATTATGAGCAAGTAATGCTTAGAAATGGGTATAAAGTCATATGTGGATTAGTCTGTTGCTAAACAGTAAGGGTCCTATAGGAATAGTACAGATTGTGTCAGAGTTAATGTTTTCATGCCATTATATTCTCATTTAACAGTTTAAAAATTCTTATGAGTTCTGTGTTGATTTCTAATTTTAGGGTCTTCTAAGAAAAGTTTGTGATATTCATAGTAGAGCTCCTATTATCCAGAAGGAGCTGGATCTTAAAATAAGATACAACAGGATTGAACTTTACATGACAAGAAACAAATTACTGTTGTACTAGTAGCTGGTATCAGAGTGATTTATGCCTCTGGTTCCCTACCAGACAAGAACACGCATGCCAGATAGTGAGTGAAAGTGAGCCTTATGGTTATTAAAAACAAAATTTTATCTAGGTGCTCTCATACTTTAAAATTTTTCATCAGTAGGAGAAGACTCTAAAAAAAAAAAAAGCTAAGGAGGGATTCTGCATTAAAAAAAAAATAAATCTGTGCTACATGAGTCATTCAGAAATAGAGAATAATGGTGAAAAGTATTTTCTGTTAAACATACTTCCCTCAGAAGAATGGGTTTGGTTCCTGTAATAGGTGTTCCTAATCTCTGGTTTCAAATGCTATAAAACATAGGAGCAGGGTGAAAAATGCTTATAGTTGACCTTTATTTGCCTTCTGCAAGAACTCAAGCAAAATAAGGACATAAACATAAAGTTGCTTCTTTAATTTTGGGGGTTTGGACCTCTTATGTACATAAATGTATAACGAAAAACATGCTAAACTATTAAGGTTGCAGCCTCAATTCCAGAGTGTCCCATCATTATGGCACTGAAATGAGGGAAGATATTATGAAAAGGCTGTCTGTAAAACGTGGTCTCTTTGTCTATTTAATGCACATAGTGAAGTGTGGTGCAGATGAATTAGGTCTATACATCAAAAGAGTCTGTCTAGAACAACTCTGCTTTACTTTTTTACCTTTGGATGAGTTGAATAAGAGATCCCATGACCTAAACAGTGGAAGCCAGAGAGACTCTACCACCTGCAGATGCTGAATGCTGCTCATGAAAGGAGAAAGAGGCAGAGAAATCTCTTCCTCAGGATTTTCACATTTGAAAACGAACACCTTCAGCAATACTGCTAGCAATAGAACTACATATAAAAAAACCAACCAACCAAAATTAAACCCTAACAAATTCTCAGACTTTCATTTGATGAAATAGGAGGCCTTTTCATTTCAACATGCAACCTAGTTCTACATCAGGTGAAAAGTCCTAACAATCCATTTCACTGGGATGTCACAAAAATAAAGTTGTAATTTTGGAAGGCTTATGTGAACATTAATGCTTTTGTGCTTAGAGCAGTGTAAAGACTTAGCAGTAAACAAGAAGGAAGGACAGAAAATTGCTTTATCTTTGATAATCTACTCATTCAGCCTTAGATGCTCCAGACCAGACTTCTACTCTCTAATTACCTGTTAGCAGGGACAACTCTGCTCTCTGGGAAGATGAGCTGGAGCCAAGGGCAGCTCTAGGGCAGGTAGGACAGGCAGGACCAGCGGCTGGAGAGGCAGCCCAGCAGGATGGATAGTGAAAGCCCTGCGTCTGATTTATAGTCCAGCGAGCATCAGGCACAGACAAGGCTGCAAGGTAATTCGAAGACCAACAAACATGAACCCCAAGCAGCAACCCAGAAGCATCAGGTAGCAGGACAAGCAGCAGATAACCACCCCTCCCTTCAAAGGGCTCAGAAGAGGGCTGAGGTGCCAGGCCTGAGTTTAAAGGGGGTTCCTGTGCCCAGAGACAGAGGTGAGGTATGTGGAAGTCCCAGATGAGACTTCTCAGGGCAATTCAGGTTGATTTGTGCACTCAGGGCCCTGGCAATGTGGAGTATTTATTCTCATCTAGTCAACAGGGGTAGAAGCACTTTCAAGGAGTGATTTATCCTTCCTGTATTAGATGATTATCCAAAAATGGCATCCATTGCTCTGGATGTGCCTCATTCCCTTCATTGTTTATGAAAGGGAAAAGAAATGACTAAGTCAAAAGAGATGCTTAACATTTACACCACTAAAGTTAGACCAGATGTGTGTATTCCTTCCAGCTAAGAGCTGTGTGATGAATAATCGAGGGTTTGCATGGGAAAAAATAACCTAGACCATCATGTCATTAAAGTTTATTCTACAGTGCAACTCAGGGAGGCTGCTCTATGATTATAAGTTCACTATTCTTGCATTTTATAGCTTTAGGTGGTTTGCTGTGCCCCTTACTAGTCTTTTCAGTTATTTTGTGTACTGTTAGTCTAAGAGATTCCACAAAATGAAGATCCTCTGTGTGTGTCAGACTGTGCTATTTCTATTGTTCTCCAACAGAGAAAATGTAAAAAAACCCTACAGCCTTCTGAAAAAAAAAAAGAATTGTATTCACCATCCTGTTATTTCAGTTACACAGTGGTATTGTTCCGTTATTTTCAAAGAATTTCTACTGACATAACAAATCATGGCTATAAAATGGATAAAATACACAGTCTGAGACATTGCTTCTAGCAGTACATGAAGTATGGGGACCAGGTCTTCAATGCCATTTCACTGCTGACTTTAATTATACTTGTCCTGGGCTTGCTTTCCTGTCAACTCTGTTAGTGAGTGATGCCTTACAGTGGCACTTTGCCCCAAGTACTTTGGTATTGTTTTCACTTGGCACTCTGCTGTACTTTGTTTTAGATCTATAATCGACTAGACAGAAACTGCTGTGGATTCAAACCTCTCAAGGAGGATTCCTGCATGCAGCAAGGACTGAAGCTGAAATGTAATGATCAGGATGCTGTTGACCTGACACACATAGTTCAGAGAAGGCATGACCAAAGGCACTTGGCCTTTGTAGACAATAAGGGTTTCTTTGACAGAAATGAGGACAATCTTGACTTCAAAATACTACAAGGAATCAATGAGTAAGTTTTAAGTTAATAATTTTGTAAAAAGATTGATAATTTCTTCCCAGTTTTAGTATGAGACTCTTAAGTTACTGGAATAGATATCATTGGTCAAGACATTGATAGGATGTGCCTAAAATGAGTAATCCCACTGCTGTAAAAGATACAGTTAACATGCATATGGTTAAGCAAGCATGGAACATTTGCCGAGTTGCAGGGTACAGTCATAGAATTGATTGCTAAAGCACAACATAAATATTGCAATTCAGAGTAATGGCAAAGCTGATGAATTTCTTTGTTCTTTTCCAGATTCCCTGAATCTGCAGTTTCAGTGCTGAGGAGCCAGCGTTTACGTGAGAAGTTGCTCCAGTCTTTGTTCCTTGACAAAATATACTGGGAGAGCCAAGGAGGCAGAAAAGGAATTGAAAAGCTTATTGATGTAATAGAAAGGAGGTCCAAAATTCTTCTTACTTATATAAATGCACATGGAGCCAAAGTATTGCCCATGAATGAATGAAACAGTCTTGTTTCCATCTGAGAGACAGTCTTTAAAAAATTTTGTATGGGACAAAAATTGACAGTAAAATTGATTTAATTCATAGAATTATTTAATTTTTTCCCCCAAACTTTCAAGGTTATTTTTAAATAAGAAATCTTACATAGTTTAAAAGCAATACTTAAATGTCAGCTTCAGCTCAACACAGTGAAGTCTCTTCTATGTCACCAGTGGCATGAAAAATAACCAAATGGTGCAATAAATAATATGCAGTAATATATAGGTATCATGAACACTCCTTCTGTTAAACTGTTTGAAAATTAGTAACAGGATTTTCAGTACATTAGTCTGGATTACTCTTACTTCCCCCATTCAAGTCAATATAAGTTTTTCTCACAAGATTAAATAGGACCAGAGATATATAAGCTTGATGACAACCGTCATCACGTCTACTTCCTGAAACATATATACAGGAATTTGTCTTTTTATTAGGAATACTAAAATCCCAACATTTCCAAGGCTTGTTTTATTTTATTTTGATCTTTTGAAATCTGAGAACTAAATTCAGCTCTTTTAAAGACAGGAGTGCTTGCACTGGACATGAAAGAATTTTAAAAACAGGGAAAAGAGAACATGACTTTAACAATAATAATTATTTTGACAAATACCTGTCCAGTATGGAGTACAATTCATCATGAGTCACTCATTACAATGTACTATTTTCAGTTCAAGTTGTTCTGATGTGTAGGTGGATAATCTGATATTTTCTGTCTATTGATTAACTGGGTATTTCTCACAGAATTGTCCTTTGCTACCACTATTTTTAAAAGTGGCTTTAGCTTTTTGTGAATATGCTGCTGCTACATGTTTTGTTTTTGCAAAATTCTTGACAATATTTTTTGAGAATTATTAAAAAGCAGACCTACTAACAACATGAGTGTTGATAAACCCAGCACCCAGGAAATGTTTATTCTGTGTGCTCAGCTCTGGCCAGCAGTTCAGGCTCTGGTTTTCCATTAAGATTGACCACTATGGAATGACTTGCCCTAAGTGTTCCCAAAGGTAAGGCTGTTAGAGAAAGTCAGAGGATTTCTATCCTGCAGAAATAAAATATCAACTGATTCTACCTGTTTGTTTAGAAAGACTTTTATCATCTTTCTAGAGAAATATCTATCATCTACTTGCCCTGAGATAATGGTAGAAGTTGGATACTTTTGTAGCTACTCTTGTCTTTATGTATAGTAAAAAAATATATGGTGTATAAGATTTTAAAATATTGTTGAAAGTGCTTGTTTAATGTCATTAATGAGAAACTAAAATGTCTCATCACTGTTAGTGTGGATGAATTTAATGTTTTAAATAACTACAATTCCACTAAAACCAGCTAAAACCAGATTTCTTTCTTAGTATCAGAAAACCTATTAACAATAATTGCATTACTAGGAGAAATAGATCTCATTATAGACAGACTTAAAAATACTTAGTAAAATTTTAAGGGCTTAGCCAGCTAATAATATTTTATTTTGTAGGCAAAGAACAGATAAATCTGTTAAAACTTACTAGAACTTAACTATTGCCTTGAAAGCACATGTTTTAGAGTGCCTTGGACTTTTTAATAGCACCAAAGTAGAATTTTATAGGATTTTCATCTTACCCCTTTCTTAAAAATGTTGTAACTTATCAGCCAGATAATTTTTTTCACAGAAACAAAAATGTTAATTTGTCTTACACTGTGAACAGAGTCTAGAGAAAGAAGTAATCCTAAGGATCCATTTCACATGGAATTCCTGTTGCAGTGAATTTCACTCTTTGATGACCATCATGATCAATTTGTCTCATTTTCTAGCGTTTCTCACAGTTTTCTTCCTGCTAGATATCTGTTCAAATGGATTATCAGACACTGCTGGGAGTGGGAGAAAGGCGTGAATCCCAGCTGCACTAAACAGTAGAGGGCCAAGTGGAGATATGCATGTACCTGATTATGAAAAAAGTCCTATGGGAACTCTGTCTTCTATCTTTTAGACTGCACATCCTGATGCCAAGTCACTTCCTCACTTTGCCAAGTTGTTTTTTTTTTTCCAGAATTGGGTCATTTTCCAAGAAAAGAAGGAAATTGAAAGTAAGGATTTTTTTACCTTTTTCAGGTTGGGTCATTTATTTATATGGTCGTAACTCGATGCATTCTTCTCCGTTTCTTCTGGATATGGACTAGTGTTTCCCTGAGCATGACACATGCTCTTTTATTTGCCTGGCAGTTCAGTGCCAGCTCTTAAAGCAGCAATGTAATTGCCTACTAGTAAGAAATTGCCCTGAGGCTGATCTGGACCACTGCCTCTCAGTTGTCATGAGTTTAAGAGGTCTGAGCAGCCATGATGCTGTGCAGTACTTGAAAATTTGACCAAGCATGAAAAGCATAACTGTAAAAAGCAGAACTTCTGGAGACTTTCCAAGGGCAAAGAAATACTTCTTTCTCTGAAAGTCTGAATTTGTGTCTAGGACAAGGCATTCTGCATGCTGCTCTCATCTTACAATGGTGCATTATTATGGCACTATGCATAGCTGGAGGTTAACATGCCATATTTCTTATGTGTGCAAACACTCTCATAAGTCTTCAGGTAAGTCAGGAGAGGCTTTGTGAAATTGGACGGTGGGATTGGACTGTAAATTTCTTCTAATTCTTTAAAGTTCATAACAAACTCCAGAAAGTGCTTTTTCTCCATAATGTTTACCCTGTTGCTGCGGAGCTTGGTATTTGAATCCAGTATTGTTAATAATGCAAAGTATGATTGCAATAGCGCTTGTGAGTACATACAAGCCAAGGTCTAGGGGGTTGTTTTATGATAATGAAGAATTCTGTATTTTTTGAGTGCATTTGCATAAAAGCTACAGTAAAAAATACAAAAAAAGCACTTTATTGAGTTTGTTCATTCTCTGCTACTGCATTCAAGATACCTGCTGTCCCTTCAGTAACAGGGGTAAAGTTTATTGGGAAATCGGTTCACTTCCTTTGAAAGCAGCGTGACATTGGACTGACAGGAAGCGCACTGTGGCCTAAATAATATTAACTGACAGGGCAAATCCCGAAGAAGTCTTACTCAGCCTGTGGTGATCAATAGAAAACCAAGAGTCTGTGCTTTAGTCATCTTTGCTGGGCTGTCTTCCATTTCTGGGCATATGGGATCACACAAATGTTGGTGTTGCATATTACTTGGAAGGGTGTAACCAACAGCAACAGTGCAAAACCTGTGGGTAGGAAAAGGCGATTATGTCATTCTTGAATCTGCTTGAAAGCCAGAACCACATGAAATGGAATTACTAAGAAAGTCAAAAGAGTCTGCTGATTTCATAACATTGGGAGTCAGAGCTTAAAATAAGTAGCACAGGCACAGATGCCTTAAAATTCCTCGGGAGCCTGCCAGCAAGTTAATACTCTTAAATGTTTCAGAAGCTGAGGACATGAAAACTTCTGTGGAGCACTGTGAGAGCAGTTTCCTTCTTGTTTTTTGTGTGTGTACTCCATAACATGCTATATTAAAATAATAATAATAAAAAAGATAAATTCCATGGTTTCAAATGAGCAAATACAGATTAAGGATACATTAAGGGACAAGGTTCCTCTAGCAATTCTGGGAACACTTTCATGTGGATGCCTGTGTATGCAAACACAAACATACATGTATATATTTATATACTTAGGCTTGTTCCTATGAAATGGTCAGTTTGGCTAATAAAGAGTGAGCTGTTTATGTAATTTACTGTTTACATGTAGAATTGTATTTGTGATTGTAAGTCAAATTTTGGGTATACACAAGTTGAAGTTTAAACAAAACATTATTATAGATGAAACTTTTGTTCTCAAAGGATTAACTCTTCCCTTGCCAACACATTTGTATAATCTTATAAGTTTTTCATTTGTAGGGAAAAACAGCAATATGTTTGTGTCTGAGCTAAACTGCCAGTGATATCAACTCAGAGGTTTTTTAAAGTTTTGTACTAGATATTGAATTTCCACTTTATTTTGGAATTTGTGAATTTTAAAAGTCAATTTGTTTATACTTTAATTAATACCAGTAAAAGTGTGTTCACAAGAAATGAATCATTTGAATCTCTACTGCTATTTTCATATAGTGTCTAGGAATATACAAAATAAAAGAATAACTGTCAGATTTTCAGTTCAGCTCTCTAAGTTGCAACAACAAAACCATAACACAATAATTATCTTAATATATGGATCATTAGTTACTGTTCAGAAAGAATTATGGCCTTGAAGCTGCTTCTTCACAGAAACAATCCAAAACAGATTATAGGGCTCTTTCTGTCGAAATATTTTCTAGCTGTTTACTCATGAGACTTGCAACTCTTTCTTACTAAGCTGATGCAGTGTATCTGTGAACCTTCTGGTTACTGAAGCACTGGTATTTACTACCTTCTTTAGCCATTCTGACAGTACCTACTTACATAAACATTGAGCAGAAAAGGCCATGGCCATTTATGATGCCAGAACAGAAGTATTGGTTGGTGACTTGTAAACTTTCTAACACACCATGAGCAAACACAGGAATAGAGGAGAGATACTGAACTGCATGTGGAATAGAGACTCACACAGAGTTAAAGTACCCTAAGAACTTTTGGCCTCTCAAGTTTACATTATTTGCCATGATCCAAGAGAGGCTAATGGGAAACACAAAGATGCTGAAACATTTTCAAACATTCTCTTTCCCACACAAAGTAATTTGCTTTGTTTTATTAAAAATATTACTTATTTTTGCACATTATTGTGTGCTTCAGGCTAAGTTCTATCAGATACATTTGTGTGAATTAATTTCAATTTCACTGAATTATCCCATTTCCAGATAAAACAATTTATGTCAGTTAGGTTAATCCATGTTCTCAGAGATTGGAGAACTGAACCCTAAGGTCAAAAGGAGACCTTAGGAGACTACCAGACAAATAAGGAGAGTTGCCTGAAATATAGCATGGATATAGAACCTGGAATGTAAGTACTCTAAACAGTATCTGTGGGCTCCAAGCAGGATCTACAAGTGTTCTTTGAAGACTATCAACTTGTTCCATCTGTATTTCTGTGTGTCAGGACATTCAAAGGGGACAAGTTCAAGGACAGCATATTTATATATATGGACTTTGTAAAAATTAGGCAAGCTTTTATCCTCTAACGTTCCTAATAGAACAATTCTGGATACTGGGGAATATAGGGGAAAGGGGCCACAGATAATGCCCCAAGCTCACGTGCTCACCTCACGGTGCCACAGTCCAAGAGTACTATTTGGGTGGCCCCACTGGTGGTTTTCCAAAAGCAGTTCCATGGATTTTGTTCTTTTGGAAAAGATGAAATGCACAAAAAAATGCAGAAACCTTTTTTTCCCACTGTGATGCATTGTTTTATCTGGGTATACCAATGCTGTTACTTATTTGACTGAAATAAGTAGCTTTCTCTAAAAATTAATTCAGTTTCAGTAGTTATTTCCTTTTTAGTCTTTTGCAGTACATTTACTTCTTATTTAATCATTTGGTTTCAGCATTCACTGTTCAAGAACATTATCTCTATTTCCTTCAATGGAAAAACTGGCATGGCATTCCACAGAGGTCTGCTAAGCTGTACAAGCACGCCTTATCAGAGGTATTCTTCAGCTGGCTATGTGAAACACTTTGAGATTTGGATGGAATTTATTAACTGTGTAAAAGCCAGCCTTATGAAGTGTGAGAATTATGTCTGACAGATGGTAAAAGCTGGTAGTCCAGTGTGCTGCTATGCTCTGGGAATTCTGAAACAACTGCAGGTCAAACATCTTAATTTTCAGATATATGTGGATGTATCACATACCTAAGACAGGGTCTTTTATGGTCACCTGGAGTTTTTTCCTACCTCAGGTCTCCTGAAATAGAAATATGCAATCAAAAAGTAAAAGTGAAAAGTGACTGAAGCATACTCTAAATACAGCTGGGGCATAGTTGCAGTAAACTGGTGATACCCAAACAAAAACTAGACCTGCCTAATAAAAATATCATCCTGAAGGAAGATGAAAGGAATCATTCTGTTAAATATGACAAGACCTAACTTGAAAAAAACCTCATTATGTGAGGAAACTATCTGAGGCTCTTTGTCTGACTTATGCTCAGGACCACATGGTTGTAGCAGATCTTTCCCCAAACTCCCATTCACTCATTCTACTACTTCTTTTCATGACCACACGGACAATTCTTCCATCACAGCTCATATGGGTCAGCATCATGGCCTATACCATGAAGGTTTTTGACTGTTCTGTAAGTTTCAATACCCAGTATACTCCTAAATCTTGCTGATTCTTTCAATGTAATAGGTTTAGTTTTTTCTCCCTCTGGGGCTGAACCACTTAAATGAAAAACTCTGAACCCTACCCCTGCAGTTTTTATTTTGCGCCTGATCCCTACAGGATTCAAGTCTTTTATGCAGCTGATCAATACCCGTGTGTTTTTCTCTTAGTGATCTCCTACAATGTGAAGCATCAATACCAATAATTTCTCAGATTTCAAATAAAAAAGTAACATCTTTTTTTTCTTACCAGATATTTTTCTTCCATATAATATTCCTGTTATAGCAGATATCACTGCTACTGTTCAGGATTGCAGTTGCAACTCGGATAGATAAATGCTTGGAAAGCATCTCCCAGTTTATTTCACGTGTATCATTATTAGAGCATATCCAGCTGAATTTTTGAAAAGGGGGCACAGGTGAGACATAGACTGTTATGAGAAATCTCATAAGCCTAGTTGTTGGCTCTTTTTAATTTATTTTTTTAAGAGTTTGATGTGAAAGAATATGAGATCTGTTATCGTAGGTAATCCACAAATTACTACTGGCTCCATCTTGACTGATCACTCCTGTGGTCCTCATTCCTCCTGCTGTGGGTTCCTTTTCTCATGTGGATTCCTTTTGTAGGTATTCAGGTCCTGCTGCACTTTTAACTAGGAGACTTCTACTACAGGGTTGCTGGTTAAGAAGGCTTTGTAGCTCAAAAGGGAAGGGGAAATAAAAAACCCTATTACATACACTAAAAATTCAGTATGCTGTTTGCTTAATAATCTTAATAAAAGACTTGGAAAAGTTGTTATGTTATATACATATACATATATGTATTATGCTTCGGTGCTGTTCTGCCTTTTTCTGACCTTCGGCAGGGAAGATACTTCCCCCAGACTCAGTGCACTGCCTGAGCCATTGCTTCTAAAGTTACTTTCTAACTGAGGTATGAGACTCTTTCTGTCCAGCTATAGGAGTCACTGTGTTTAGGATTGCAGCTGAGGCCTGGGCTGATTCACAGGATTTATACCCCATTGGGTAGTGCTGATAGTACTGTCGTACTTGCTGCTAGAAAGTGCAATATACCATCAAACCCTGCACTTCTAGTCTCACTTGAATGCTTGCTTGGCTGTATCAGCATGAACTAAGCCAATAAGGCAACTCATGCGACAGAAGCGTTGATGTATTCTGAGAGCCGCAAAAGGTCAAAGAACAAAAGAGATTAAATCCCCATTAAAATCACAGCTTTCCACTTCATTTTGCTTTGCGTGCTTGTATGTCCAAACTTGAACTTGAAATGCTAGTTTGCAAGTAGCTATAATGTGCAAACACAGCTTTTGTCAATTTGTTAGTGTTTGTGTTGCGAAGCAAGAGATCCGAGAGCCAAAGAACAACAGATTAAAGCTTATGCAGTGTCAACACCATACTGGGAAAGAATTCTTACCCTTTATCACAGTCTTATCTGAGTGATAATCTGCATGGCCATGAAGAGCTGACTCCTATTTTTTGTTACACTGTTGCCTTAGTGCTAAGATTTCTTTGATTTTCTGCTGTTGGCTTTACCACCCAGTGTATGTATCCTCAGGCTTTCACAATTGCTGTCTTTCCTGCTAAGAAAACAGAACTTACATGTGTTTCAGTACTTCTTGGCACCTTGCCTCTCACATATAGTTAGGGTCAAATTTTCAGCCTATTTGCTTTCCCTGATTTTAAGTATAGGTAATAGTATAATTAGCAAAGAAAAATAAGTAATTTTTTCTCTTTGGTGGGCGATAAGTCCTGCCAAAACCTATGTAAATATGTCTTGTAAGGAAGGACTACAGATGATTAGAGAAAAGTGTACTTCAGAAGTGTAGATCTGAGAATGTGGTCGGATATTCATTCAGTTTTGCAAAAACAACTTGTGAAGCTCAATATCATGGCTATTCTACTTTTTAAGGAGTGGATGAACATTAAAGAAAATGAAGAGAATTTTCTTGACCAAAATTTTTTATAAATTGCCACCCTCCCTGTCACTATATTGATGACTAAAGCCTGGAAAAGTCCTGCCCTTTGGATGACTTTCACTGCGGAATCCAGATAAAAGGAGGCTGTATTTTCTCACGTAGCTGTTTGCAATCTGCTCTCCTCCAGTCTCCATCCCTGGAGGCCACTCTTACAACCTCGTCTTGGAGCCACAATAGGACTGTGTTGCAACCCAGTGTATGGTCAGCTTTGCTAGTTTTCTTCCCACTCTTGCATATGTTTCAAGTCCATAATGAAGTCCTCATTGGCGTTAGTGGAAGCAAAGGCTGCATTCTTTAAGGCTCAAAACTGAACCTCCAGTTTCAGGGAAACTTCTGCAATTGTTTCCCATTTCTCCCTTGGCATACAGATGTCACTAAGATCTGTTCAAGCATTCTGGACTGAAATGAAGTATGCATTATGCAACTTTCATATTTTTCAGTGGAAAA